TTAATTAACGTTCGGCAACATCGGTGAAAGAACAGTGTCGGCTCGCAGTAAAGGGTCTATTGTTGCTTGCCGCTCGATAAGAGAAATACGCTTTGATTTAATTGTAAGGTTCATCGACTCACAATCGAGGAAATCCTTGTTTATTCTATGCACGCCCGTACTGTTCGTTTAACTCGAGCGTTTAAAATTACCAAGAGTCTGAAACAGTTCTTTAAATATGTATCCTTTTGATACATTTATTCGATACATTGTAATGTGCTATATTTTCTAAATTTCCGACAAATAAGCCAATTATTCTATTATTACTGCTCTAATAAATGACAAAACACTCAAAGGGTTAAATGACCACGAACTGTTCCAATCATTTGTTTAACTTTTATTTGCTCAAAGATATAAATCGTTATTAAACTGGTACAAGAAAAAGAGAAGTAAATTTATACGTATAATAATATGTACATGAAAATAATTTAACATGTATGATATATTGTACAAAATATAATATACTATACATAAAAATAAAATTGCACATTAAGTATATATATGAAATATGTAGTTACATAATTATAAATATAATTATGTATAATATACTATACATAAAAATAAAATTGTACATATATGAAATATGTATTTTATTATCAGTATAATACGAAAAGTAACAGAAGTTAATTTTGAATGAATTTCTATTAATCTTCCTCTTTCGCGCGAGAAACAGTAGAATTTAAAGTTATTTTTTTAAAGATTACTATTTTTGAAAGTTTTTAAAGTTTATTATTTAATTATCACTCTTTCTATTTTTCATTCTCTCCTTCTCAACGTATTTGCAACAAGATGAACCAAAGTCATTATCTATAGCTCTAATTCTCTAAAGTCTCCTTTCCGTTTTAATTATCCACGCCTGGTCCTCAAGCAATGGCCATTTAAGCGTACAATACCGCACAAACCGTGAAAAGGAATTGCGAGCTGTAGCGAATGCCGGAGATTCCACCTGTTCAAGGTCGCTACCCCCACCACTATCCCAAGAGTTATCCATACTTCCCACTACAGCTACGAGCACCGCTTCTTTTTCGACCGCTTTTAAATTCTTCGCTTGTTCTTCGCAAGAAACGAAAGGAAATTCTCTGAACGAAACGGTCCTTCTCGCGAACGTCTCGTGTACGAAGCTCCCTGAATTAATTCACGTTCTCTGCTAACGAGCGGAAGAGAAACGCTCGCTCGGATAAATAAAAACGCCGAGGATTCCTCGATAATTTCGCGTCTTAACGCGCCGCTTTCTTTCTTTCATTCTTTCCTTTTTCTTTTTTTTTTTTTTTTTCAACAGGAAGAGCGGACGGGCGAAACGAGAGGAACGACACGCGTTTAATCGCTTCATCTGCGTTCCCGTCGACCTTACAGCGGTAACTGCAGCTTTTACCAGGATCTCTGTTCGCCAAGTAATCGGGGATAATCCCGCGAACGACCGCGATTCCAACAACGATCCCGACTGTCTCCCGCGTTCGCCGCCGCGACCCGGTTAGTTGTGGCGTGGTTTTCACAATGCCAACGAAATCGAACGGGACGAAGGAGGGGAGGAGTCGGGAGGAAAAGCTCTTTCGGTGTTTTCATTTTCATCGACCCTGTCCGAGATCGAGTTATCTTTCGCCTGAAAGCTTCGTCACGCGTGGGAGAGATACAAAGAGAATTGATTGGTTTTCGTTTGAAATAATTTGGATCTATTTGTAGATATCGAGAACATTTTAAAAACGAAAGATTATTGAAAAGTTCACATTTTTCTAAAAATAATTTTCATAATTAATATTCTAAAGTCTGTTTCTTTATGTTAAATTAATATTAAATATAAATGTATTAAAACAATTAAATATAATGAAAATTTTATTAAACATTTAATATTGAAAATAAAATTATAATATTAGAAAGCATAGTTTCATACAAATTTTTTTCATAAATAATTTCATATTCATTTAAAAATTTTATTAAATAAAAAACAATAACTATATATATATTAATTATAAAAATAAAATTTCTCCAACCGGGAATGACGAGTTGATTCGTTAGTGAAAAATGCTTCTCTAGAGCGCGCAAGATAAACCTCTGTAAAATTTCAAAGATTCTTCCACTTTTCCAACGACAAGTTGACTCGCCATTCCAGGTTAAAGGCTAAAGATCTTTCGCAATTTTTTAAAGATTTTTCGCTCGAACGTTTCGCGAAGAATTTCACAAAGAATTTCATGAAGAAGGTTGAAAATCATGTAGAGAAGAAAATGGTGTATCTCTCGCTACCACTGACTACGAGAAGAAGAAAAAAAATCAAAAGAAAAAGAATTTCCTTCTTTCTATTCAAATCTAATTCTCATCAAAACTATTACACGTTGCAGTAAAAAAAAATCTATGCACAACTGTCACTACGACGTAAGATTTCGAGAATGTAAATTTAAACACCTGTTTCGATTCGTAGTTAGTTTGAAACTTTACCCCTTCTCACGACACGTTTTCACGATTTGAAGTATAACGAGTTCTTCTCAAAGAGCAAACGTGGAATAGAATTTTACCGCCAATAATTAACTAATTATCGATAAACTACCCTTATATTAACTCAGCAAACTGCACCCGCTCCCAACTTGTTCATCATACATTCAATCGATTATACATTCTCACGTACTCGATACACGATTCGACCGCGGATCGGCGCGGTATAACCGAACGATGTACGCGTTTGCCGATGAAATCGAGTTACAATGCGTTCACATGCGACGAATTTCTCGATTCTCTGCCGTGAAAACGCGGTCCCACGTCTAATTGGCCACCATCGAAGACCGTTGATCGATGATCGATCAACCGCCACGAATCCGTGCGTTAACCGTTAATTGCCGATACACGTAGCATTTAACGGGTCTCCGGTGGGACACAGGACATCGTTTACACGAACCAATTTGTCCGATAATATCGTCTTCCCTCGCGAATTAACTCAGACATTACCAGCAATTTTTCTCTGACATTTCTCCAAATAACTGAATTTTCCTTTACGTGACTTTATATTGAACGTATTGAGCAAATTTTTTAGATTTCTCTTAATTGATATTCGGAAGAGTGATCAATCTTCCAATGTACAGTGTTGTTCAAATTCTTCATTACTTAATACTTATCTTCAGAAGTATTAAATATTGGAAGCATACGATTTTAATGCCGCTTTTATATATTATATTTTTATTAATTATATATTATATTTTTATATTGTATCACTTTTACATTATTGATCTCGAAATATCTAAAACGGCAATAAATATCTTGTCTCATCTGAGAAATCGTACAATCCTGACTTATAATTGAAACGAATGTGAGAAACATAGTTGACTTTTGAGAACAAATTCCTTTTCTCAAACAAGCAACATGTGAATGAGAAGATAAAATACTAGCTCCTCTGTAAATGACATGAATATTGTCAAAATAATTTGTTATTGCAGAGGATTGTCAAAATAATTGTTATTGCAGAGGATTCTCTGAAATGGTCAAATCCAAAAACAAACTAAATGCATTTTCCACTTCATCGACAAGACAGCGTAATTTCAAGCTAATCTTTTGTCTTTAACCACTTGCGCTGGCAACTGGTGATTGCGGACCATAACGAGTGACCAAGTCGTACACAATTCGTCGCTTTCTTTTTGAACCCATCGGTATGATATCACTGGATAGAAATCATTGAGAATAAAATTTATTATTTGTTTTGCCTGTGTACTTGATTAGACTTATATTTAAAACTGAGGAAATATTGCAATTTTGGGACGTTCTGTTCACGTTCTATTGCAAGTTCTGTTCACGACTTCAGCGTATCATAAGTAATAGATACGCGAGATCTGTTCTTTACACGAAAACCACGGTAAATTAAAAAAAAAGTTTGTTCAAACCATTATATTATATTTTACACGAAAAACAAAGAAAATTTATACAAACGTGAGAAAGTTCTGCACTCGTATTTTACAAATTTCAGCGCAATTATACTCTATACTACTGTATTATTCCATTCGTTATTAACACTAGAAATAGAATAATAGAATAATAGAAATATAATTTTCGTTAGATATTTTATGAACATAAAACAATATATTTTCAGAGATTTAAATGATTTTTCCTTAAAATATATAAATAAAAGTTTGCGCATTCTATTGTATCATAAAGCTTCCCTATCTTTTTATTTCCATGTCTCTGACTAGTTCTTAGTCTTAACCACTTGCACTGGCAAATGATTGACAATAAGTTCGTTTTATTCAGAAGGGTGCGAGTTTGATGTCGCTTTTATATATTATATTTTTGACATCACTTTTACACTATTGATCTTTAATATCTTGTCTCATCTGAGAAATCATACACTCTTATAATTGAAATGAACGTGAGAGACACACATAGTTGACTTTCGAGAACAAATTCCTTTTCTCAAACAAGCAAAATGTGAATAAGAAGATAAAATACTAGCTCCTCTGTAAATGACATGAATGTTGTCAAAATACCAATTGTTATTGCAGAGGATTCTCTGAAATGGTCAAATCCAAAAACAAACTAAATGCACGTTCCTCTTCATCGACAAGACAGCGTAATTTCAAGCTAATCTTTTATCTTTAGCCACTCGGCAACTGGTGATTGCGGACCATAACGAGTGACCAAGTCGTACACAATTCGTCGCTTTCTTTTTGAACCTATCGGTATGATATCACTGGATAGAAATCATTGAGAAGTAATAAAATTTATTATTTGTTTTGCCTGTGTACTTGATTACACTTATATTTAAAACTGAGGAAATATTGCAATTTTGGGACAAAAGATTCTCGACGTGCGTGGCGCGTCATTCCAGCGTAAGAGGTTAAGGAGAAAAAGAGATAAAAGGTCAGCTCGAAATTACATCTCTCTTTCTTCTTTTTTAATTCCCAAGTTCTACGAAACGCGCGGTTATTCCAAAACTTTAGGCCGATAGTGTGTATCGAGGTTAAATAGAAAACGAAGGGCATACTGACCGTTCTCCACGTAATAACTGGTCTCGTTGTACCGTTCATCTGTGAATCCTGGCCTCTTCGCTTTCAGAGCTTTCGTTTCCAATTTCGCCTGTAAGAAAGAACCGTGGATAAGTGAGCCGTTGTTCCAGCGTGATCGGTTGCCTGACACATGGCCATCGGGAACGCGAACCACAGAAAATGAATGAGGACCAAAGGGGCGGAAGATCGTTCGAGCTTCCGTCCAGGGAATCGTTCCATCTTTCGCTAGCGATTAATTTTCGGGGCGGGCTTCGGGATCAAAATCATTATGACGTTCGTTCTCTTCAAACTGATCGGTTTCATAGAGGGTCTCAACGTGTTGGAGTAACGAATAATTTAAAGAAAAGTGGATTGGATAATTGGGAGCTTCAAGGTGGCCTTTCACTTTATGCTGAAAGTTTCGCGGACGATTTGCTCGTTTGGAACAAAATGTAATTTAATTACGAATACAATTATAAAATTATGAATGAAAATTGATCCCCCTATTGTGCGTATCTGCGTTCGAAGGTTATTATAATTTAATTAAATACGCAAACGGATATAAAGTCACTGTTATTTATGAAAAAGCGTTTTTTTTTTAATGAAGTAAATGCGAAATTTTAACGAAATTTCAAAAGTAATTGCATTTCAATGACGGTACACTTAATCATACGATGAATTTTATAAAATTTAATATTTTGTATTGTATAAAGATACACGCAAAAAAAAATTTTTTATCCTTTTTTTCGTGTAAACTATACAAGAAATATTTACATTACATACTCGTGATATGGGAAAGATTAAGTCGTGAGTACCGTTGGAATAACCTCACAGAATTTATCCAACAACAGAAACTAGAAATCAACTCTGTCGCGCGTCTCGGATAATTTCCAGTCTGATCGTCTCTCCCGTTGAAAAATTCCCCAATATCGACGGAAAATCTCTTAAATCGAGTTTCACGACAAAGGAGACTTTTTTTGAACTAATTAGATCTGGAGAAGGTTCTGGCTCACGAAACTTTGTAACAGAGTTGATAATGTATTCGTCGTCATGAATACTTCTATCTCGAGTAAAGCAGAGAGAAAAAGGAGAGGATCCTGTGAAAAACGAGCAAAAAGATTTGAAAAACGGTGGACAGAATGGCAGGGAAATTGGAACGTCGATGGAAGATAAAATGGCGCAATAATTTGGAACGGCGTTTATCAAACGTGTTTAGTCGTTCAGTAGATAATGAACGATGTGGTCAGACACGAAATGCATGTTCTACTGATTTCTCATAGAAACGCGAGAACAAAAACATGTGTCGGCAACGTCAAAAACGTCAAACGCGATAAAAGGAGAACTTTTTCTGAATTTTCGAACATTTCAATATTTCCTTTTTTTTCTTTTTAATATTTCAACAGATAAGAATTTTATGTTAACAAACGAAAAAAATAAAAATAAATCTAGAAAAAAAAAGTAATTGCACGAAAGATATCTATGATGTACATTTTCACTTTTAATGCGACATTATTTATCTTTCAATTATGCCAATTCTTATCATGCTTACATCGAGGGACCAGAGCCAACAGAGACTCATTTTGACAGATTTCAAATTTTTCATTTTCGTAATTACTGAAAACACGTTATTACAGATAACCTCGGCGAATAATTACCGTTGACAGTGATCTATTGAGATAGGAAAGAGGAAAAAGAAGTGATACGACGAGAGTTTGCTCGACCAAACAGATTCTACTTGTGATAATCACTTATGACAGTCACTCCGTTAATAAATTCTCACATTTTCGTCGCGTTCGTGTATTATTAATCTAAATCGACCGATATTTACGCGAGTGTATTTATATTAATCAAAACTGCATCGACGATGTTAATTTACGTTAAATGAATCAATTTATGAGGAAATAAACCACCGCGATCAGAATTAAACAACGAAACAATTAAAATGAACTATCGCTCGCAAAAATCCTCGAAATGTGACGCGATGGTGCAACAATAATGTAATGAAACTTGAATCTGAAATCCCTGAAAACTAATCGAGACATTTCCACCTCAAAAACAAAAAGAGTAAAAATCTTTCGTTCTCTCTCTCTCTCTCTCTCTATATATATATATTTTTTTTTTTTTAATGAAATTACATCGAAATTACATCTCTCTTTCTTCTTTTTTAATTCCCAAGTTCCACGAAACGCGCGGTTATTCCAAAATTTTTGGCCGGATATTGATATATATATATCAAAAACCAGAAAAAAGAGGAAAAACGAGAAACACAGGAAAAAACAGACGAGAGAGGGGGAAAAAAAACACAGGGGAATTGTGACGTGTCGTGACCATTTCCGGCTCGAAGCGGCGGACTGACAAACCCGGGCAGAACGGAACAATCTTCCCTTTGTTTCATGTGAACCGTGCAAAGCGGCGTTGTGTGTTCCAGCGCGCGGCCAGCCTTCAATTATAGCAGCCGAGTTGCACTCGCTCGGTCGGCCGAAATAAATTTACCCGTGGCCGACATTAATTCTCTCTTCGATCCCGTGCCAATAATTCTTTCATTCTCGTTCCTGCCCCCCCCCCCCCCCCCCCCCCGCGGCGAAACGCTTCGATTAGTGACGAAAGCGCGATGACTTGGACGAAGAGCACGTTTCTTTTTCCTTTCTTCTTCACTTTTCTCTTTTTCGCTCAAAGATCGATGCGATTCGCGAAGAGGTTGGAACTTAGAGGGAGGGTGATTGTAGTTGATTGACGATTTCAGCAGAGAATTCAGAATTTAAAGAAAATGTCGATTAAAGAATGTTCGGAGTGTCGCTGTGATTTTTAAAATTATATCATTCACGGAGCTTGAAATTTAAGGGGAAAGGTTTATTGTCGTTGATTAGCGACTTTATGGAGACTTTAATGACTCGAGTGTCGTGAAGAATACATTTATTTCCATAATATATATTTATAATATATTCTTTCACAAAGGAAATAATTATATTCGTGAAATTTCGAATTTAAAAGAAGGGCAATTGTAACAGTTTCACCAGAATTAATTAACGATTTTATAGAGATTTCGATGATACAGAATTTGACGAAAATGTCGAGCGTAAAGAGCTTTCTCTTGTTTCTCGTGCTTTTAAAGGTTATACGATACGCAGAATTTGGAATTTAAAAGAAAAGTGATTAAATCAGTTTCATCGTCGCTAATTCACGATTTTATGGAATATTCGATGGTTGAATACTTGAGACTTGAAGGAAATGTCGATTCAAATCTGTCAAATAAAAAATATTATACTATTCGTAAAGCTCAGAATTAAGAAGGGTAATTGTAATAATTTCATCGCAATTCACTGAAAATTTTATAGAGAATTCAATGATTTAGAATTTGACCAAAATGTAATTAAAATCCGACTGAAAATCTGTAAGTTCATCGGCTGGATTTAATGGTTCTGTATTAATGTATAACAATGGAATGGAAAATAAACAAAATAATAATGGTATGATTGCGGAGTCTCATTTATGTAATTATGGGATTCGTTTTACTACTAATATTCACGCAAACTACGATAATGATAGTGATAATTATATCGGGATAATTCATGTAATACCTTTTTATACATATCATTTAAATTTTAAATCTTTATACATACAGAAAGCAGTTCTCTCTTTTTTTTATGAAACTTCTTATTTATAAAAGTATCGAACAATATTTTAATGACAAATCGTATTTTAACGAATTCAAATTTATCATACTATTATAGTTCAATAGATAAATTTACTGACATAATTAGATTACTTATTGAAGACATGACTTTAAGTAATTAATGCAAAGATAAAGAAACAGATCGCAATACGATTCTGATTCGTAAATAAATCCATGAGTATCGACATATGTACGTAGACAAACGCGAAATATAAATTTTTTGATTTCATCAAAGAAAGAACAAAAAATGTTTGCAATGATAAAGCACCACGATTGATATCAATCGTGTAACTGTGAAATATAGAGATTCTAACAATATTTTACTCTCTAAATAACGTTCCAAATTTATCATCAGATTCCCCCTTCTCTTTTCCATTTTTTAAAATTTCTTTCAGACTAGAATCGTTAAAGGAAATATCTGCTGACGTGTTCATTGTTCACGTGTTAATTTATATCAGGTAATAAGGTCTTTTTACAAGATTTATAATAAATAGTAATAAAACTAAAAAGAGAGAGAATAAAACTAAAGATATAATATTCTAATAAGACTAAAAATAACATAATAAAATACTATAATAAAATTACATAATAAAAAATACATAATAAAATACTATAATAAAACTAAAAAAAAAAGAGAAAGAAGGAAATACAAGAAATAAAAAAAAAAGAAAAAATACAAAATCGCGAGAGGCATTACCAAGATTCAGCGTTCAAGGTTCGTGAATTCAAATCATTCCAATCAAAAACGTCCAGACAAATTAAATTTAGAATTTTTCCTCGACGAACGTAACTCACTTAATTCATGCAACTTCGTTCGACAAGCACAATTAATTAACATTCGATCGACCTCTTAATCTTCAATCTACCTCTTACTTGATATTGCAGGAACAAAAGAAGAAAATTTTTTCAACGAAAATTCGCGACGCGTTTCCAATGTGAACTTTGTTCCCTGTCTAGAAAAAACATTCGTCGATTAAAAAAACAATCTATAAGAAATACTATAAAACTTAAAAAATGCTATCGTACTATAAAAAATAAAGGAGAAAAAAAGGAAGGACAGAGAGCTGTTTTATCGACGAGTGAAACAGCACTTAACTTAAACGCGTTAGTCCGCAAACTATCGCACATAGGCCACGCTCCTAGATATCGATTCTATTAAAGTCGTTGATCACGCCGACGGCCATTAGAAGGTCCGTGAAAATCATGGCCTGGCTCGTTTTAATATCTGTTAATCAGCGCGGTAATTAAAGGCTCGAAACGACGGCCGGATGCTCTCCGATTTTCGCACTCGCGGAACAAACGGCGCATTACATTAATGGATCCTAATATTCAACTCGGGGCAGGAAGGGGGGGAGAAAGGTGTCCCAACGTTGGTGCTCTCGCCAACGAACATCTCGCTCATGCGCGTTTTAATTAAG